AATATCCTCATAAATCTTTCTGCACCCTTTCCAGTGTAACCTCATCCTTCCTATAGAAGGCAATGTGAACTGTATGCAATACTGCAAATGTGGCCTCACCAATTTCTTGTTTCCTCACTCCTCATACTGTTACCACCTCATTTGCCACTGGTTCCCAGTGATTAATTGTAGCAGGGATGAAATTATTGCTGTACATTTATTCTGCACAGCTGTCAAATGATGCAGGGTTACGAGGCGATGAATGTTGTGACTAAACTTGAACAGTTGTGTTCTGCACAGAATTGGAACAATATGTCGAATAGATGTAAGCTCATATACAGGCAACCACAGACACATAGCAAAGGGCTACAATGTTGAAAATCATTGTGTCTGTACTGACCAGTCTCTCCTCGATGGCTCAGTGAAAAATAAGAGCTAGAAACAGCAGTAGGCCATTCACCCCTTTGGAAGCCTGCTCACACTTTCCATACAATCATGTCTAATCTCATCTCGACCACAACTCTGCTTTCCTGCCCTGCTCCCTTTAACCCGTCACTGATTAAAAATCTATCTGACTCCTTCAATTTATTCAGTCACCTGGCATCCACTGTACACTCTGGTTGGGGAAGGAGTGAATTCCCATTGGTTCCCATCCCCCCTCCCCCAGTTGATAGGAGCCATTCCTCCTCATCTCTGTTTTCACTCTGCTCCAGCCCCTTATCCTAAAACAATGACTTCTCATTTCTAGGTCACCCCTCATGAGGAAACATCCTATCTCCATCTACTTTGTAGATCCCCAGCAGGCAGAAACAGGGGAATTTAAAAGGGACAAAGAAATGGTTGAGCACGTACTTTGGTTCTGCCTTCAGAAAGGAACACACAAATCAGATACCAGAAATGTTGGAGAATGCAAGATTCAGTGAGAGGCAAGAATTGAGGGAAATCAATATTATGAGAGAAATAGTGCTGGGAAAATTGATGGTATTGAAGGTGGATAAATCCCCAGGGCCTGGTAATCTACATCCCAGAGTACTTAAGGAAGTGGTTCCAGAAATAATGGATGCATTGATGGCCATCTTCCAGGATTGTGTAGACTCTAGAACAGTCCCTGCAGATTGAGGGGTAGCTAATGTCACTCCAATATTCAAAAAGGCAGGCTGAGAGAAAACAGGGAATTATAGGCCAGTAAGTGTAACATTGGTAATGGGGAAAATTCACGAATCCATTATCAAGGGCTTCATAGCGGATCATTGAGAAAGCAGTGGCAGAATCAGACAGAATAAGCATGGATTTATGAAGGGGCAATCATGCTTGACAAATCTGTTGGAAATCTATGAAGATGTAACCAGTAAAGTTGATAAGAGGGAGTCAGTCGATGTGGTATATTTGGACTTTCAGAAAGCTTTCATAAAGAGTCCCGCAAGAGAGATTATTGTGCAAGATTAGAGTGCATGGGATTGGGGGAAGCGTATTGAAATATAAAATTGGTTGGCAGAGAGGAAACAAAGTGTAGGAATTAATGGGTCCTTTTTAAATTGGAAGGCAGTAACTAGTGGGGTGCCGCAAGGATCAGTGCTGGGACCCCAACTAATCACAATATATACTAATGATTTGGATGAGGGAACAAAATGTAACATCTCAAAGTTTACAGATGATGCCAAGTTGGATGGGAGGGTGAACTGTGACGAGGATGCAGAGATACTTCAGCATGATCTGGACAGGTTGGGTATGGTAATGGTGGATGCAGAACAATTTGGACAAATGTGAGGTTATTCACTTTGGAAGCAAAAACAAGAAAGCAGATTACTACCTGAATGTATGTAAACTGTGAGAAGGGATTGTGCAGCAGGACCTGGGTGTCCGTGTGCACCAGTTGCTGAAGGTAAGCATACAGGTGCAGAAGGCAAATGATATATTAGCCTTCACTGCAAGAGGCTTTAAGTTCAAGAGCAGGAATGTGTGTGTTCAGAATCATGGCTCACAGTCTGAGGATTTGTGGTAGACCATTTAGAATGGAGACGAGGAGATATTTCTTCACCCAAAGGGTGGTGAGCCTTTGAAATTCATTACCACAGGAAGTAGTTGAAGCCAACATATTGAATGCATTCAAGAGCCAGCTGGATATAGCACTTGGGACGAATGGGATCAAAGGTTATAGGGAGAAAGCAGGATTAGAATATTGAGTTGGATAATCAGCCATGATCATGATGAATAGTAGAGCAGTCTCTAAGGGCCAAATAGCCTCCTCCTGCTACAATCTTCTATGTTTCTATGCAATCCCCCGATTTTGCATCTCATAACACCAATTAGATCTCCTCTCATTAATTTAAACTCCAGACAGTAGAGGCCAACATTGCTCAATATCACCTCATGAGACAAACCAATCATCTCTGGAATCAATCTAGTGAACCTCCTGTGATCTGTCTCCAATACAACTACATCCCTCCTCAAGTACAGAGACCAAAGCTCTGCACAGTACTCTGGGTGTAGAAAAACTAATGGCTTGTACAAATGCAGCAACATTTTCAATACTTTTATACTCCATTCCTTTAGTAATAAATGCCATTTGCCCTTCCTTACTACCTGCTGTCGCTGCGTGCTAGCTTTCCAAGATTCATGCACAAGGTCACTCAGATCACTCTGCACTGAATTACTCTGAGATTTGTCTCCACTGAGATAACAAATTGCCTTTCTATTTTCAGTGGGGGTGTTATTCATGCTGTTGAACTTAGTTGCCAATATCCAGAGCATTGAGGATGTTTCAGACTAATCTACTGAACAAGGAACTCTGTCAGAACTGTGTTCTTACGTCACCTCCTATTCCTACACCAGATGCTACGAGCAGCCAAACGCCCAGTCAATTATGTAAAACCAAAAGAACTGTGGATGCTGTAAATCAGGAACAAAAACAGAAGTTGCTGGAAAAGCTCAGCAGGTCTTGCAGCTTTTGTGAAGAAAAAAATAACAGAATTAACGTTTCAGGTCGGATGACCCTTCTTCAGAAGACCCCAGCTTTTCCAGCAACTTCTGTTTTTGTTGCAGTCAGTTATGTACCCTGCACATGAGAAGCCATCAGTTGGCACTTAGTTACCGCTTTGTTCCAACACACATTCTCACTTCCTCAATACCCCGTCACTTTCTGAGCTCCACTGAGCATGATCTTTTCAGAATGGAAACCTCTTGCCCCACAGCAGCCTCTGCTCATCTGTCACTGCAATCCCCTTTTTTTGTTCCTTTCAGAATCAAATAACAATTTTCTGAGAGACTGTGCATTGGGGTGGTTATTTCTGTAAGGATGGAAGGTCGGTACACAGTTACAGTAAGCAATCAGGAAAGTTTGCAGGATCTTCTGATTCATTGTGAGAGGGATTAACTGCAAGATCCGGGAGATTATGCTTCAGTGATGTAGGGGATTGGTGTTTCTGCATCTGCAGCATTATACAGTACGGCTCACCGTCCTTACAGCAGGATGCTAATGCATCGGAGGCAGTTCAGACGAGGTTTGTCACACTTATACCTGTTATTTCTGTGTTTATAACCTGTATGTTACATCTGTTTTTCTCTATTTCTCTCTCTCCACAGGTGCTACCAGGCCTGCTAAGTTTCTCCAGCACTTTCTGTGTTTATAACCTATAATGTTAACACTGTTTCTCTCTCTCTTTGCACAGATGCTGCCAGACCTGGTGAGTTTTTCCAGCACTTTCTGCTTTTGCTTCAGATCTTCAGCAGCCCTCAGTTTTTGTGTCAATCAATACCGCGATTCAGATCATCGCAGTCCCAGTCCGTGTCAGCATTGATTGTCTGTCGACTTATTTTCAGAAATAATCTTTTTTGAATGACACTGGGTGGGAAAATGGGGTTTGCAATACTTTCAACAGACCAGTGATGGTACAAAGGACAAAGGGGTTATTAATTCTGGTGAAAGGGGAATAGTGATATAAAACGGGTATGTATTGAGGTGACGGGAATGGAGAGTAACTGTGGCTTGGTGAGCTGTGGAATTTGCTTCGCTTTCGCTTTCTCCAGTGATTTCTGTTTTAGTCACAAATGTTGCTGGTTTAAAGGCTGACAGCCCTCACAATATATCAGCGTCATGATGCTTACAGGGGTCTATTCAGCCTGGATGCTGGCTGCTGAACTCTGATAAAGCTTAGCTTGCAAAGGCCTTGTAGGGCTGATGTCGGGTTTCCTTTTCAGGGGCCGAGGGGTGTCTGCTCAAAGTGATGCCATCACTCATGCTGTTTACAGTAGCCCCCAGAGGGTGGAGATTGAATGGAACATTGAGTGGAAACTGCATCAAAACAGCAACACAGCTGTTCCCTCTGCTGCTACATTTCCCTTTTCTCTTTCAGAATCAAAGAAGAAACATACTTAACTTTCTGGAAACCTGCCAGTGGGAAAATCAACACATTACAGGCGGTCAGTTCTGTAAGGATGGAAGGTTGGTGCACAGCTACAGCAAGCAATCTGGAAAGCTCATAGGATGTTCTGGCTCATTGTGAGGGGAATTGAATGCAAGAATCGGGAGGTTATGCTTCAGTTCTATAGGGGATTGGTGTTTTCGCATCTGCAGTACTATACAGTGTTGCTTAACTATCCTTATAGAAGGATGTTAATGCGTTGGAAGCAGTTTAGAGAAGGTTTAGACCAGTTATTTCTGTGTTTATAACCTATAACATTAGCAGTGTTTTTTGCCTCTCTCTGTCTCCATGGATGCTGCCAGATCTGCTGAGTTTCTCCAGAACTTTCTGTTTTTGTCAGATCTCCAGAATTCCCCACAGTTTTTGTGTTAATGAATATTGTGATTCAGATCATTACATTCCTGGTCCTGTGCCAGCACTGATTGGCTGAACAATTTATTTTTTTAAACAACCCTGTGATGTCAGAAACAGACGGTCAGTGGCGCAGTATGGATGTGCTGAACGCTGGAAATATCAGTTCAATGCTTTTAGACGGTGTGTCCAAAAATTGTCTGCATGCAAATTGGCGATGCTGCAATGTTCCTTTCTGAATCAGGGGTGTAAGCCTGCGGATTAGGAAAAAAAAACAAAAACAGATGTGATGAGAGAGACGGAAACAGAGTTAATGTTACAGTTTATAAAGGCAGAAAGCGCTGGGGAAACTCAGGCGGAAGAGAGAGAAAGAGAAACAAAGTTAACTTTTGAGTCCAGCGAACTCTTAGAATCGAGAGGGGTGGGAAAAGTAGGGTTTTTAAGAGATTGGACAGAGGAGGGGTGAGTAGAACAGATCAATGATGGTGCAAGGACAAAGGTATTGTTAATTGTGGCGAAAGGGGACTCGACAAAACGGGAGCATATTAAGGTCGGGGTGATACAGAGTAATTGTGTCTTGGTGGGATGCGAAATTTACTTTGCTTTCACTTTCTCCAGTGATGCCTACTTCAGTCACAAATGTTGCTGGTTTAACAGCAGAAAGAAACGTGACAATATATCGTTGTTTTGATAGCTGCAGAGATCTATTCAACCTCTGCACTGGCCGCTGAACTCTGCTCAAGCTCAGCTTGCAAGCACCTTGCAGGGCTGATATGGGTTTCCTTCTCGGGGGTGGGGGGTGGGGGAAAGGTGTTGAGAGCGTGTGTGAGTGCCATGATCTGGGGGAGGTTTCCTGTCTCTCAGTCTCGGAGCTGGCGGTCAGACAGATGTTGGCTGCATTTTCTCTCCAATCTGATAAGCAGCGAGGACTCCGGGCATGGGAACTGGCTGAGGGACGCATT